ATATCCCAGAAGGTTAATTAACTTGATGCTATACTCTGATTACAAAGTGTTCCTTTCATTTTTTTCAGTACTGTTATTTACTAAAATGAATCAGTTTCAGGAAATCGATGTATTTAAAAAAGAATCATTACTTTTTATGCATAAATCATCGTAGGAAGAAGTAATTTTTGCATTTTAATGAAATCCAGTCTGCGACATTGTTCCTATACTGGATCATCAGTAGCGTCGGAATCCGTCTGTCCCTCAAAAACTAGGGCCTTCCGTCTGTCCCTCAAAGACTCGACCAGCCGTCCGTCTGTCCCTCAAAGACTCGACCAGCCGTCCGTCTGTCCCTCAAAGACTCGACCAGCCGTCCGTCTGTCCCTCAAAGACTCGGCTTGGAAACCAGACATAGCCCTAAAGCATCAATGAACTGGAGGAGAAATGCTGGGATTCTGGTTCTGCTGGTTCTGGTGGCTCTGCCTGATGGGTGTCACCTCACAGCTGCCTGTTGCATCATCGTTCAGTTAGCTAAACTAGTTCAACTCGTAGATGTTCTGCAGCTGACTGAACGGCGAGCAGCTGATCTCCTGCAGCTCCGATAAGAACAACTGGAAGAAGTTTAGAAAAACATCTCAATGATCAGGAAACGCCTTCAGAGTCTGAGGAGCTAGTTATCAACAGCTGGTTAATAACATCTGGTTACTGACAGCTAGTTAATGACAGGTGATACCAACAGGTGGTTAATGACAGATGTTACTGGCAGTTTGTTAATGGCAGCTAGTTAATGGCATCTGGTTAATGAAATCCAGTTAATGACATCTGGTTAATGAAATCTAGATAATAACATCTAGTCAATGCCAGATGTTACTGGCAGCTACTTAATGATACCTGGTTAATGACAGCTAGTTAATGGCAGATGTTACTGGCAGCTAGTTAATGACAGCTGGTTAATGGCAGCTAGTTAATGAAAGTTAGAAACCAGCAGCTAGTTAATGACATCTGGTTAGTGATAGCTAGTCAATGGCATCTGGTTAATGACAGCTAGTTAATGACACCTGGTTAATGACAGCCAGGTAATGGCAGCCAGGTAATGGCAGCTAGTTACCACCAACTTGTTAAAGAGAGATGGTTACCAGCAGCTAGTTAATGAGAGATGGTCAGCAGCAGGAGCAGCTAATGTCCTCTGGTTAAGGGACCAGAACCCCTCTGATGAAGATGATGGACTATGATGAAGACCACAACCTGGTTCCTTTATAATGGACCTGCTGGTGAAGGCCCAGCAGAACCTTCTGCTCCTCATGTCTTCACCTATTGGGCCAGGTTCTGATGAAGACCACCCCGTGATAAAGACCAAACTAGGATAAAGACTACCCAGCGATGAAGACCACCCAGCGATGAAGGCCCTACTCACCCACTTTGTCCACGCCAAACTTGTGTCCCGCCACCTGGTGGGACAGCGGGACGCAGCCGTTCAGGTGGGCGGGCTGGTCCTTGGTGGAGGCGCCGTCCTCCGCAGTACCGGAGCCAGGGTTCCGGTCCAGTTTGTCGGACTCCATGGCTTTAGCTCCGGACATGTTCAGAACCTTCGGTTCGGTTCGGCCCATGCAGCAGCAGTCTGACAGCCGTCGGTCAAACGCGTCACGCCTCGCGCTGTCATTCCCAAAGCCACGGTTGTGACGCGGGTGAGCCGCGCGGGGCGGTCAGGTAGACCGGAAGCGCAGGTAGCAAAGCACCGAACCGGAGGACAAGCTCATTCACTGATTCTCATTTCTGGGCAAAATAAATACTTCCTGGACACTTCCTGCTGCCGCGCACGAGCGCAGGGCCGCGCTCCACTTCCGCTTCTTTCCTACAAAATAAAAGCAGCAGAGAACAGTAGCGACAATAAACAACAGGAACAATAACTATAATAATAATAACAACATCAGTAATTATATTTATAAGATTTTCCTACATGTGGTTTATCAAAACTAATCATTAATTCAAAAACTCGTTGGTTGAGCATCTCTTGAGCTGAAAATCCCATTAATTAGCTGGATCACTTCCTGTTGACTTAGTTTATCACCTGGTGAACTTTGGGCTGAGGAGGAGTCATCAAGTCATCTCCATGTCCCCCTCCTCTGTATGTGGGTCGGTCCACCATGAAGACCTGGACCTCATCATCAATGATTCAAAGGCTGCTCCAGGTTCTGTTGAGCCCAGTTTCCAGCATGTCGGAAGGACAGAATCTGGGACAGGGAGCCTGGTTTAAGAGACAGAATCAAATCATAGATATTGTGAGGCTAGATGCTGAGAAATGTAGATGTATTTATTCCAGAGTTAAATGTTGATTTTACAGTGGTGGATTCATTGTGTTCAACAGCAGGAGGCCAAACCTGTCCCACAGGGTAAACATCAGGAGATCCATCAGCAGCTGCTGCTGTTTAACGTGGTAAACAGGTGGTTGTCATGGTAACGGAGTTCTTCCTCATAGCTAAAGTGCCATAGATCATCAGCAACCAGATCAGGTGAGAAGATGTTCAGACAAAGGAACAAAAAGCAGTGAGCTAAGCTCCGCCTCCTGTCACACCTGGATGGAGGCCGTCCAGCAGCCGAGCCACAGACCTGCTGGTTAGGGTTTGGAACTCACAACCTTCTGTGTTCAGGTTTGTTCAGCCAACAATAAATCTAACCTTTGTTTGCAGAAAACTGCAGCAGATCTTCTCTGCTGTGGCCCTGGATGAGGGCCCCATAAGGGTATAATGGCTAGAAAATCTGAACCCTGTGAATGAAAGAGACCTGATCCAAACTTTCACCTGTTTTCAGACACATTGTCTGATGAGTTTCAGAGCTCAGGAGTTTATCATCAGACAATGTGTTCATTTAGGGTGGAGTCACATGGGCATAGCTGTTTTTAGAAACATGCTGGCAGACCATTATGCAAACAGGCTGCAAGTCTAGAAACTTTGTTTGCTTGATGAGGTCAGACAGGAGGTGAAGGAAGGAGACATCAGTGGCTGGTTTCCATCAGGAACAGGAGAGATTCAGTCAATCAGTAAATCATTCTAGGAAACAATCAAATCAGAAAATATAATCCTGAAACGACACATTAAAATAATCCCAGAAACCAGGAAAGGAACTTCTCATCTGAAACTGTGATAAAATCAAATGAATTATTTTATTTCTTCTGTTGTCAAAGTTTCATTTCAGCCCATAAAGTCTGTGGAGTAAAAGTTTTGGACCATTTTTATTTGCAGCATTCTAATTCTAATTTGGTAGAATTTAGTTTTTTGCTTTGCACATAATCTCTATTTTAATATAATCCAAGTCATTGAATTTTAGTCATTTAAGGAAGAAACTAATAAATCGGTCAGAAAAAGAAACTATGAATTTCTAATGCACCTTTTTTAATGTAATTTGGTGGAGCTCCTCTTGGTCCAATCAGGAGGAACGGATCCCTTCATGCAGATGCCAGATTGTTCCTCCTCATTCAGTTCAAACCAGGATGTGGTTCTCAGAGTTCCCGCCTCGCTGTTCCTGGACTCCTGAGTGTTGATGACCTAAAAAAATCCTTCCAACGCGATGCTTTGTTCATTATTCAGCAGAACAGACGCTATGGCAGCCCCAAAACATCAGAATAACAGTAATGAGTGCAATATTGTCAAAATAAAGTTTTTTGTTTTACTCATTCAATACTTTTAGATTATTAAAATGGTTGCTAAAAAGTTGATGTCATGAACTGATTGTTGAAAAGAAGATATTCATTATTTACCTCCTGGAAAACTTTAATTCTAAATGATCAATTTTTCTGGGACTCATTTGATCCTTTAGAGTTCATTCAGTCTTTTTCTTTGTGTGAAAATCTATCATTGCTGATCAAACATCTACATATCAAATTTCTACTGGATGAATATTTGGGTGTTAGTTATTTTTATTTAAAATAATAGGACTTTATTCACTGTCTCTGGTTTAAGGCGGTTTCTTTGTCGGCTAATTTAGGTACTTTAAACAATAAATTATTAAATGAATAGTTAATTCAGAAAGATAAATAGGGAAGAGACCTCACAGCATTCAATGCAGGTCCAGCAGATTCTGCAGCAGTTTCTTCCACGCCGCCATCATACAGCTGAACTGTTGAGAAAACTCTAAATCACAGACTCTGCATCACACTGATGACACCAAACCAACACACTGCAGATTTGCTCCATATATATTAATGCTCTGAACTTCCAGATCAATGTGTTTTTTTTTGCCCTATGTTTTTTTTTCTCCCACACTGTTTACATTTGATCACTGCTGCATTTTATGGAATGGAAATGTTCATTTGCTGTCTGGAAAGCTGTGCTAAACAAAATTTAGTTTTGTACCCACTCTGTGTACAAAGTGGAAATAAAAGTAGTCTAAGTTAGCCTTCATTGAAGTGTATTGTCTCTGACAGCAGCTTGGTCTGACCAAAGATGGCTGCTCTGTCCGCAGACCTCTCACGCGATGATGCGGGGTCTATCCAACATCTGTCTCAAACATTGAAGCAGGTCTTCATTAGACACGCCCCCTTAGCACACGCCTGGGAGCCTGGCTTCAGATTCCCATCACTGCTCATGAGAGCTAGACTCAGGATGTCCTCTGGTTGCTCCATCAGTTCCTCCCACTGGACAGCTGCCCAGGGAGGGCAGGGAGCACCAGCATCTCCAGGTCCTCAGATTCAGGCATCCATGATGTTCCTCTTAACTCTCTGGTGTGATGATGATGATGATGTGTGTGAAGACTCTTCCTCTCACCCTGTCCTCTTTCTCTTCAGCTGTTGCTCCGATCATCTCCACATCTTCTGCTCTCTAACGGGTCATCAGCTGTACGGCAGAGGATTTAAGCTTATGATGATAAATATATAAATTCAATTCAATTTCAAACTTTCCTCTTTTGATTTTATTTGATCAGCAGTTTTCAGGGTTTCCATATTCTGCACCAGGATGCTAAACCAACCTCTACCACCAGGTGGCGCCTGCGCACAACAAGGCTGCTGCTTTTCCCGCCAAGAAGAAGACTGAGGATGAGGAGCTGGTGAGGAAGAAGCTGCGGTTTGATGATGGAAACTAAATGATTCAGATCTTTTTGTTTCTGCTGCTTTCGAAAAGCAGAGATTATTTTTCTTCCAGTGATAAAAAGGACCGAGTCCGAACCACAGACCCAGTTCCGGTTCTGAAGCAGGTTTTCAAAGATGGCAGAAAAGAAAGCAGCTTTGAGCCGCAGATTTTAGGAAATAATGAGCGAGACTGAGAGGCCAGCCGGGCCGGAGCGGAGCGGAGCCCCGGAGCACAGCCGGACCTGGAGCCTGGGCTCCGGCGGTCCGAGGGGGAGGCTGCCCTCCCTCAGAACCAGAGACCTGACGCTAGGGGGCGCACCAAGGAAGGCCAAGGTGAGGACTGAGTGAGAAGAAGGAGCGTCTAATCTAAACCGCGGTGAAGTTAGTTTGACGGTGGACAGACTTTCGCTCCGGTTAAACCGCTCCTTCCTCCGGGAAAACCTCCCCTTTGCTCCGGGTACACTGCGACCGGAGGAACACTTCAAGTGCACCCTTATTATAGACTTTACAGTAAAAACACACTACATTGTGTACCGACTTCCTGTTTTCAAAATAAAAATGAAGGCCTAGATTTTGAAGCCAAGAAGCTATCAAACTAAAATATTGATATTTATCATATTTACAAAAAATTATACATATTTAGAGATGTCATATTAGAACTAAATGGTGCATCTTGTTAAAGCAGCCTAGTACCATGATTTCTGATAGATTTTCTGTCAGTCCATCAAAAAACCTATTTAGCAAAACTGTTAATATCTACACAAATATAAAAAAAAAAAATTAAATGTATAAAAAAATATTAGAAACTATTAAGAGACTTGAAATGTAAAAATAAAAAAAGGCATTACTCCTGAAGCCAGTGGAGAACTATGATCCAACACTAATTTTGAGTCTATTCATCACATAACCTGGAAGCTATTGAGCAAAAATCCTAATATTTCTATAAAAAATTTAATTTAAAAAAAAGCAGTTAAAAAATATACAAATATATTTCTGTAGAACCAGTTTCTCTTTCATTTATTCACATAACAAACATTTCCAGTTTTTCTCACGGGTGTCTTCGATGTCCTTGCTCCCCATTGACAGACATGAAGTGTGGAACCACCTGTCGCATTTCTCACATTATATGTTTATTGAAATAAACAATACATATTTAATATATTTTAATGTTTGTATATATCAATATTTGACATTGAAACATATTTTCATGGCTGTAATCTATCACAACATTAAAGGGGTGATAGAATGCAGAGTTTCCATTGTCATAGATGAATAACGATAGTTTAGTGGGTGAAATGGACGTACAGAGAAGTTCAAACTCCATCAACACCTCCTTTCTCTGCAAATCTAACTATTCTAAACTTCCACCATAAAACAGTGAATCCAAATGAAGCACCAAGTTGACGTAAACTCTGGGCTGTTGCCTTATTTGGTTCTGGCCTGGACTTTTGTCACGCCCCAGCCCACTGGTTCACGGCCCAAGAACATGAATAGAGGAAGATGGAAGACAGCAGTTTATAGATGTTTAGCCCACAGTCTACGGGTTACTTCTACAAGAATTACAAAGCAGGAAGTTTCTCTATTGAAAATGAACCAGAACCACAGGAGGAAACACAGCGTTCCAGGCTGACTGGAGAAAAGGGAACATTTTCACAGTTTTCCTTAGTCTATCAGAAGATCCCTGCAAAGTTTGATGCTCAGCTGTTCATTTGCTCGAAGCATTTTATTAAAGACAGCTTTCACAATCTTGGACAGTTCAAAGCAGGATCTGCTGAACTTCTTTTACTGAAACGAGGGGCTGTTCCCACCGTAAGGCCATCACAACCGCAGCCTGGGAGGATGATTCTGTCACTAAGCTGTTGATAGCAATGCTAGCATAAATATGGTGACCAGATTTGAGTTTCTGAAAAGGAGGACACTTTTTGGGCCGCTGACTGGACCAGATCATTCCAGGACCTGGTCTACCTGGACCAGATCATTCCAGGACCCGTTCTACCTGGACCAGATCCTCCCAGGACCCGGTCTACCTGGACCAGATCCTCCCAGGACCCGGTCTACCTGGACCAGATCATTCCAGGACCCAGTCAACCTGGACCAGATCATTCCAGTTCTGTGTAAATAAGGAGACCAGAAGACTTGTGGCTGTGGATTCAAACATGTCAAGCCTTCGGCTCTGTTGCTTAGCAACCGTATCAGTTATCACACAAAGCAGGAAAGAATGAATACCAAACTTTTCACTTCTGTTTCTATTTATTTTTTTATTGTAAATTGAAGAAAGACTACACTCATAAGTATACAGTGTATTAAAACTATTTAATAACTTTTTTTTTTTTGAAGGGTATGGCGACCTGACCTTAAATCGTATTTTTTTGTAAATCACTAAACAGATACACACCTGTCAAAGTATTTAAAGTGTTTTTTTATACAAAACCGAAGGTCTAAACTAAAGGGCTAAAGCAGGATCCTCTCCTGAAGTTAGGAAGGTTTGCAGGATGTGATGCAGGGCGATGAAAGCAGGAAAGACCAATCAGCTGGTTTTCCTTCCATAAATACTTTAATCTGACTGGATGATCTGGTTGGTCTGGATCTATGGAGTGACCTGAGATGACAGGATGTAGGAAACCCAAATTGCTGATGGAGGAAAAAAATCTATTAAAATCAACACTTTTTAAAAATGACTTTGATTTTCTAAACCCTTATTTTGAAAGGAAGCTTAGTGACGGAGCTCCGAATGCAGCTGAAGCCGTTTGGTCTGCAGGTTCTCACCTTGGTTTCTGTTCTCTGTAGAAAACCTGGGAGCCCAACGTCCACGCCGTGAGGAGGAGCAGAGAGGAGTGAGTGATCTGCAGCACGTAAAACCTCCACGGCTCTGAAGGCCGCCTCTGATCAAGCTGCCCTCCACAGGTTGCGAGCCCAATTCCCCGTGGCTCCTAAGAAGGAGAAGACTGAAAGAAGCTGGAAGAGAAGAGAGAGCCGAGGAGGGAGGAGAAGCCGACCTCAGACCATCCAGTCCCACTCCATCTTTGAACACCATCCTGCCTCCTCCAGCTTCAAAACAGGTCCGTCTCCGTCTCTCTGTCCCTGAGGACCACAGCCGGAGCTCATGGCGCCGTTCTCCCCTCAGGCCGATCCGGTACCAGAAGTTTCCAGAACTCCTCCTCATCTCCTGGCCGGCTGGTGAAGAAGGAAGGAGAAGCTTCATGGGAGGATGAAGGTCGTCTTCTCAGCAGGCTGCAGCGAGATGATGTGAGAGCTTCCCAGATGTTCCCTCAGAAATCAGATCGCTGCAGGATGGACGCTCTGGGCTGAACCAGAACATCCTTCTGCTTCAGTCAGAACCGGTCCAAGCGGACCTCTAACAGGATGTTTGCTTCCTCTCCAGTTCCTGGTAGATCCAGAGCTGAGGAACGATTCCAGCCTGCAGCCCGTCAGCCTGCCTCAGTACCGACCCAGCAGCATCTCCACGTCCACCGCCTCAGGTGAGACACGTGTCCCCGTGTCGTCCTGCAGGTTTTAGACGTCTAGAACCTGCAGGACGGCGGTGGACGGTCCAGTCAGAGTCATCCTCATGCCGCCTACAGAAGCGGAGCCATTGGGTTCAGATTGTCTAAAACCTTAATTTTTTGGTGTGTTTGTTCAAACTTCTACTGATCTTCTGATCAGAGACTCAGCAGCGGATTGGATGAAGGAACCCAGCTGGTTCTGCTCAGCGGCTCTGATGCTTTGAAGGATCTGGAACCAGGATGAAAAGCAGAACCGAGCCTAAAGGTTCTGCTCTGATAGCTGCTGCTGAGCCTGATGTACTGGTTGTCTTTGCAGGTCCAGAACCGGCGCCGTCTCGAGGAGCGGAGCTCCGGACCGCGCCGTCCGAACCGCCTGAGCAGCCGTCTCTGGTGAAGAAGCTGCAGGACCTCAGTGTGGCTGAAGGAGAGCAGATGTTCTTCATGCAGTTCCCAGACGGCCTCCCTGCTGCAGAGGAAGCAGCTCATGGAGGAAGATCAGAGAAGGAAGGGAAGGTGAGGAACCACACCTGCTGCTAGCTGCTCCACAGCTGGAGCAGCTTCTCATCCAGAACCATCCACCCCCACCCAGAACCATCCACCCAGAACCATCCAACCCCAACCTGTCCCCAGAGGTCACCTTCATCCCTGGTCTTCCTGCTGATCATCTTCCTCCTCTTCCTCTGCAGCTCCTTCAGCTCCATCAGCTCCCTGAAGGATTTCTGGGGAAACTGCAGATCAGGAAATCTGGGAAGGTTGAGCTGAAGCTCGGAGATGTTCTCCTGGACGTGTCAGAGGGAGCAGCTTTCTCCTTCCTGCAGGTAACAGCTTCAGTCTAGATCTAGTTTTTCTAGGTTGATCAAACATTTCCATGACAACCGTTTTACAGCTGTAGTAACTGAGATTTTGGTTCTGACCTTCTGTCAGAAGCTGGTATAAACCAGTTCCAGCCCTGTCCTCCAGTGGCGGCGCTCCAACCTCTGACTGGGATTCTGCTTCCTGTTTTTCAGCAACTGGTGTCGGTTCGTCTGACTGCTGGGAGGACTGGGAACCTGGTGGTGCTGGGAAACGTCCAACACAAGCTGGTTCTCTCTCCTGACTTCCAGTCCTTACTGGATCAGGCAGCAGCAGCTCAGCCGTGAGGCCCGGTGGAGCCAGGACTGTTCTGGACCAGCAGTCCCTCTGAGGACCACGTTTTGTACCTTTAACTTATTCAATAAATGGATTTCATTATTCTGATCCACCTCACTGGTACCGGGTTTCATCTTCAGAACTGCCTTTAATTCTCTGTGGTAGAAAAGCTGATTTGGACTAATTCTGATAATCAACCAGCTGGTTCTGTCCAGTGGGTCAAACAGACCCGGTTCCTAATATTGCAGAACCTTTAGGCTGCGTTCGCATCGAAGGCGCAAAGCGTCTGATTCACATCCAGAGTCTATGGGGGACGGCGGAGCGTCAACCAATCAGAAAAGCTGCTCCAGGAGTTTATTAGGGAGACAGACTCTACCTACAAGCTGCCATGAAGAATAAATAAATATTATAAAGGTTAAATAAAGCAGGTAGGATGGATTGTTACGTAGAAGGAATCAGAGAGCAGCTCTGATCATTATTGCTGCACTAAAACATTTTTATGAACTATGGAGAAACAGTTTCTAAATCCACAAATTAACTAGAAATGTTAAAATATTGAATTGTTTATTCTGGTTCTTCCAGTTTTTCCCACAAACCTTAAAAAGTCTTTCTATTCACATCCAGCCGCTATGAACGGCAGCAGGAAATCCCCCAGAGGCTGAGCTTTCAGTGGGGATTTCCAGCGCTGCCTCCTGGCGCTATGCTGGAGCTCCCAACAAGAACTGCAGATTATAGTGGGATTATAATCCTGATGATCAGAGGATGTTTGGAGGTGGACTTTCTCGCTTAAAAACCTTTTCAAACTATTTTTCCAGCTCATAAAGTAAATAAAGCCGAGCTGCTCTCTAGCTGGAAGCTACAGAACGAGCAGATAAACAACCAGAGCGCCGAGCCTCCGGACACCTGAAGCTTCCAGAGCATCGTTTGAACCAGAGTCCAGACTTCTGAGTTTGAGCATTTTTGACGTCTCTGGTGTGAATGCAGCATTAGTCTAGATCTGCAGCACATAGAAAGTAATCTAATTCATTAGAGAGAGTTCTGAGTCTAGAGGTTTGAATGAATGAGGTTTGAATCTGTGACACGTGGTTACCAGGGTTACCTCCAACCCAACATGGACGCCCCAGAACCCCCATCCTGAGGCTTCGCCCATCCTGAGGCTCTACCCATGAAACCACCCAACTACAGAGCAGCTGCTTTCAGAAGAAAAATCCAGTCAGGTTCTGGAAAACAGACCTAAAGACGGTTTATTTTAGAAAGAGCGCTGTACAAAAAGAAGAAGAGAGTGGCGTCCAGGGGAGCAGAACCAGCCACTGGGTCCAGAGTTCTGCTCCTCCTGGATGGACCCACCTCTGATCACTTCTTAGAAGGTCCTTTTTTCACAGTTTTTGCAGACTTGGTCTTAGTAGCAGCTTTAGACCTCCGTGATGGAGAGGTCTTCTTTACCACTTGGGTCTTCTTGGTGTCCTTCACTGCAGGAACTTTTTTCTTCCTGGGCCGGGTCTGCTCCCGGATCAGATCTTCTCGTCCAATGTCTGCCATGTGATCTTCCCAGGACTTGATCTCGTTCTTGTAACGGATCTTGTCATCTTCAGCCAGCTGGATGTAGACCTGAGATGTAGAGAGCTGATCAGAACATCTAGCTACCCTTCGCTGGGCCACAGAGACATGAAGATCCGTCAGAACCAAACCTGTTTCTGGTGACTGAACAAGTTTCTCCAATCCTCCAGCAGAGACTTCATTTTGGCCTGAAACAAACAGCAGAGGTTCATCTGGGTTCTTGTGTTTGGAAAACATCTACAGAAGGTTCCTGGTCTGGGTCAGAACCGGTCCTGTCAACAATAAAACTGGTTCTCTAAGTGGGGAAGCACTGCTACTGCTGGGGGGCTACTGGAACCTAAAGGACCCATTTGGAGAAGAGATCTCCGCCTCCAGACCTATGGGTCCAGGCCCGGTCCTCGGGGTCCGCGGTCCTGGATGTTCTAAATGTGTCGCATGTGAATCAAATTTTATTTCCTCCTAAGAAGCTGTTCATCACCCATTTCTTTTAGTCTGGTGTGTGGAGGCAGGAGAACATCTAGAACATGCTGGGACCCTGAAGACCAGGAAGGAGGAACTCTGCTCCACAAAAGGTTCCTTCAGTTTCTAACGAGCTGATGGTGACGAACAGTTCTTAACATTTTCTGGATCAGAGAATAGGCAGTCAGAACCTCGGAACATCCGATGAGGTCAGAACCTGGGAAAGCCAGATGTTCCATCATGAACCTTATTTCTTCGGTTCTGTTCAGGCTAGGCTAGCTCAGCTTTTCTTTGATCCCTGCAGGATTCAGCTCAGTTCTTTCTGGTACTGATACTCATGTGGAAGGTTCTGCCCACCTGGGTGCTGGTTCCTCTGGCCTCCTGGAAGTGCTCAGACATGAAGATGTTGAACGGAGATCTGGGCCGTTTGGGTTTCCCAAGGACCGTCAGTTCCTGAAACAGACACATTGACACGTTGGTTCTGGTTCTGGCAGGAGACAATCAGACCCGACCGATACCGACAGAGGTTCTCTCCTCAGGGAGCTAAATGTGGACAGATCCCCCCAGACGGCTACATGATGCTGCTGATCCTGTGGAACACAGGAAGGTTCCTGATCCAGACCAAACTGCTGCCAGAGGGGACGGACACCAACTGGTGAAAGGCGCTGCTCCTCCTGGTTCTGATCAGCTGCCAGCAGATCAAAGGTTTCAGAAGCAAACTCTGGTTCAGCTCAGTGTTCCACTGTATGGCCGTTTACTGATACGTTATTTAAAACATTCCCGTGTTCAGAGGATCGCGGCTACAAGCGGAGCTCTGAGGCTAACTGCTCCAGGGTCAGGGCTAGCATCAGCTCGTCTGCGGCACTCGGGGCTAGCGTCAGCCCGTCTGCGGCACTCGGGGCTAGCGTCAGCTCGTTCGGGGCTAGCGTCAGCTCGTTCGCGGCACTAGGGGTTAGCGTCAGCCCGTCTGCGGCACACGGGGCTAGCGTCAGCCCGTCTGCGGCACACGGGGCTAGCGTCAGCCCGTATGCGGCACTCGGGGCTAGCGTCAGCCCGTATGCGGCACTCGGGGCTAGCGTCAGCCCGTATGCGGCACTCGGGGCTAGCGTCAGCTCGTCTGCGGCACTCGGGGCTAGCGTCAGCTCGTGTGCGGCACTCGGGGCTAGCGTCAGCTCGTGTGCGGCAATCGGGGCTGGCGTTAGCTCGTGTGCGGCACTCGGGGCTGGCGCTAGCTCGTCTGCGGCACTCGGGGCTAGCGTCAGCTCGTGTGCGGCAATCGGGGCTGGGGTAAGCTCGTGTGCAGCACTCGGGGCTGGCGCTAGCTCGTCTGCGGCACTCGGGGCTAGCGTTAGCTCGTCTGCGGCATTCAGGGGCTAATGTTAGTTTGTCTGCAGCAGCCTAAGAGCTCCTGCAGGGAAGGTCAGGGTGTCTCCAGGCTTCTCCAGGACTGGCTAGGACTGTTTTTTCTAGGCTGGGGAGGAACCACAAAGATTAGCGCAGACGAAGGGAGCAGCTTCCTCCTACCCTCTTCTTCCGAATGGCCTTCCTCTTGGCCATCCTCTGCCTCCTTTCCATAGCTTGCTGCTGGAGCTGGGCCGGGGTCAGCTGGGCCTGGTACTTCTGGAAGTCCACCTTGAATTGCTTCATGGCCTGGACAGAGGCCTCCTGGAAAGGCTAAGCAGGACAAGAGAATTTATCTAAGATGGCAGCAGTAGAACACTGGTCCAGAAGGTCTCCACCAAAATGGTACCTTCTTCTCCTCTGGGCTTAGCGTCCTCCACTGCTGGGCGATCTTCCTGATGATGTCCACCAGCTTGGTCTCTGGAAACAAACGGATATCAGACGGTCAGCAGGTCCCTCAGGTCAGAACCAAAACAGGTTCTGCTCACCACCATCAGACCAGGAGAACCTCAGGAGACCGATGGTTCCTGCATCATCACTGAGGAACTCAGACCAAGTTCACACCAAACCTTGAAGATCAGGGGTTCTGACGTTGAAGATTCAGGTTAAAGTTGGACCTGCAGACCAGTAACTTTCTGATTCAACTGAGATGAAGACTGGAAACATTTCCAATGTTCTCTGGATCAAACGTCTGGTCCAAGTAGGGATGGGGATCGAAACCCGGTTCCATCAAGGACCCGGTTCCACTTTTTTCAAAACCCGAAAATCAATAACGTTTGGGCTTATCGATACCACTATCGATACTTTTCTGTTATTTGGTGGAAAGACGATGCAACAAAATTTTTTTAACAGAACTGGTATTGCTTTTATTGCTTAACAAGTGAGCATAACAAAAACGTTTCTAGCCTTCAATAAACATT